TACCCCCTTACCCCCTCTAACATACTTAATAAAATACATACAAATTTGCTTAAAAAAGGACTTTCAATTTCGCGCAAAAAAAAAAATATGAACGTTTTAACGAAATCGTTGTTGACCCTTAAAGCTCTGGCTCCTTGTCCCTTATGGGGAGCGTCTATCCTGTGCCTATTCCACCGACAAGTCTAGAATTCAGATTACAATGCACTCATTGAAAATGCTTCCCGCCATAATGGTTGCGAGACCCCAGGGACGGTATAGATTTTACTTCCAGTCGGAAAGGATGTATGTGACGCGCAACCTCACGCCCTGCACTATCTTCCATTCGGAGTGTTTTTGGTTGCGGAAGGGGGCCCTGGAATGACAACGAGATGGGGTGTGCCAAGGATTTTTAGAAAATTGAGTGTGGGGATACGGACAAAACCGAAGTCCCCCGTGCTGGTCCGACCTGGTAAGCAGGGAGGGTCCGTCACTATGCGGATGTCAAGGGAGAGAAAGGCGCGCGCGGGACGTTCGGCATGGGGAAATTCAATCCAAAAAGTATCGTTGAACTTCCCAGCGGGCCGTTGCCCTTCGCTTCACGTGAAAGGGAGCGGGTACACATTTGGTGTCTCGTTTTCGGATAAAGTCCCGACGCCGCTCATTGCACAACTCAGAGTCTGACGTGGAAGGTCTCAACCGCGTAGCTCGTTCCCTGTGTTCGTCCTCACTTCGTACACGGTAGTGGAAGCCTTTTGATTGGTAACGCTCGAGGCGACAACAGTCGTTGCACAGGGTGTTAGGCCAATGGGACGCCACTGCCGTCCACGGAATGACAATCAATTTGTTGAATGGTAACCACAGTGAATAGGGCAGAAAATGCGTATCAATGATGACAAAGCCCGCTCCGACAAATCCTGAGCATTGAGTTTCGGGAGGGAAATAATATCGGTTGCCGATCTTGGCGACGGCTTCTCGTACGTCCCACTCGCATACACGTTTCCTTCTCTCGTTATACGGGAAGGGACGTGGAGGGAGTACGGGAGGCACGCGAAGTCAGAGTGAGGCCTTCAGTCCACATGGCAATCCACTCAATCGCAAGAATCGATATCAGTCATTCATCTTTAATCCCCCATCTATCGATCGAATTTTTTCGATTATCGCCTTTATTTATCCGAAACATGCGAAGCAAAGTGGGAGCATTCCTTTGTTTCTCAGAACGAGAGAGAGAGAGAGAGAGAGAGAGAGAGAGAGAGAGAGCGTTTGCAATGGTCTATGGTTTCGCCAAGAAATTTTTATACAGGAATCGTGGAGACAGTACGCACGTCAGGTGGGACACGGTCGGTAATCCGCGCATGCAGGTCACATGTGTCACCCCTCTTCTCTTTGAGAGGACAGATTGTCTGTCAGGTTGTGTGCAAGGCATTTCGAATCACATCGTCGACAGATCTAACACTCTTGCATTCTCGAACAAAATCCCAACAACATTGTCCTTGCCAACAATTCAATCATTCTCATGCATCCTATTGCAACAACTCTTTACCCTAATCAAAGACCAGTCCATCAACGACAATCTTCATTCGTGGTGACTCATCGCGAAAGGTGCAAAAATGACAGCCACACATTATTCAGTTCTCCGTGTGTTCTGCGCCCCTGCCCCGTCATCTCGAGACTAATCAAAGCGCCGGCCCATCAGACAACCATTCCACGACAAACATACATGGTCATTCGCATCATAAGATAAGTGGGGAGAAAAAGTGCGAAATGGATTCAATAGAGGACAATCGTACAGAAGTCCGGAGATGAAAGAAAAAAAAAGAATTTTCGGCTTAACTGCCGTGAAGTTACACTCATACCAAAGAATAGACTCGAAACAAGGAGGCGCATCTGCCGTAAAGATCCGTCATGGCCCCGGGCCATTCATCCACCCAACTTTGGTCACTATCCTCATACATGCACCGACGATCCCGGCCGTCACGTGCCACCTGCCACCATTGCGATCGTCACCCGCCGACTTAGTTTTTGCGCGGGCTTTCCCCGATCCCACAGCACGTCGTGGCGATCAGGCGCACAACCAGCCAGTCTACAGTCAGCCCGTCGGGACTTTTCGACTCGCACCACATGGACATCATCTAGCCACTGCTTTTCAGAAGCTGGCTGACGAGTTGAGAGAGAGTTTTGCGGATGCATTGTCGAGCGCATTGGTCCGGCACCGCACCAGGGCAGCGCGGGACCCTCCCGGCCGCGTCACACAGGAGTTGGTTAAAAATCCCCGTCGCAAAATGTATACATGGAGCTTCCGCAAGCCGCTCCGGGCGAGTGCGCCAGCCATACCTCTCGCGAGCCCCTACGACAGGATAGGGCCTACGTGAGGCACGACTTACCTACACCTTACGGGAGTTGTCACCTCCCATCGATGGGCGTATCCCCGCCGAGCTACCAGTCCACAGTACGAGAGCTAATCAATTGCAATCGCAGAGGTGGACTAGCCGAGGGCGTTTCTCGTTCGCTGTAGCATAGGGGGTACGCGCGGTAATACGCCGCTATCGGACCCGCACGCGACCCGACATCTTGGGGGGCTGAGGTCCCAAGCGCGACTCGTCGTCGGTCGACTAGGACGCATCCCACACACCACACGCACACCACTTTACGAACACAAAAATAAAACACACACACACACACACACACACACACACACACACACACACACACACACACACACACATACAAAATGACACAACACAAACAACGCGACAACGCCTCTAGCCCCTCGGTAGCCAACCCATAACTTTTTGATGCGGAAATCGGATAGGCGTCGCGCGCGAGCCGTGATATAAAACCGCGCGGACGCAGGGCTGACTCATATCGACCCGCAATGCAAGCGTACGCAGGCGGTCGCAGTGATGGCGTACTATGTAGTACCTATAATCAAGCAGTCTCTCGTGGATCCGAGTACCGCTTATGACACTCAAGTGTCAAACTCGAAGTGTCGTGAGGGTCTAACCCTTCACGACATTGCACGGCTGAAGGAATAGCCGTGCAGCCGCCGCGAGACCCCCGGCCTTTGGTCTGAGCGTCTCGGTAGGCAAGGCAAATAGGCTTTGCGCGAGGGAAAACCCCTCCCCTGCAGAGCCTAGGGCTTGGGATGTCCTGGACGAGGACCTTGAATCCCGGCCCAGGACCAACGTCAGGCTACGAAAATCCTCAAAAAGCAAAGCAAAATAAAAGGAAGGGTCTTCCCTGGGCCTCTCAGTTTTTAACGTCTGTGTATGCTCTTTGTAC